TAAGCAATCACCAAATGAGATATGAAACTCTGGAAGCAGTGAGAAGCAGCATGGGCAGAGCACTTGCACGAAAGAATGTGGTCATACAGGAAAGCAGGGCAAAGCAGCACCGGGTGTGTGAACTCTGAAGCAATTTTTTTCGCCTTGTAAATGGATTAAAGGAGACAATCTGAATATCTTCCTTAATTATCACCATTTCCTATATATGGAGTAATTTACTAGTTTAAATAGGAAATAGTATAGTGCAATTCATTTAAATGACTCATCCAGTAAAGTAAGAGTGATTCAGCCCACTGGTTTATGCCTGTCCTGTAGGAAGCTGTAGGTGTCTGAAGTCATACAGATGTGCTGCGTCCCTATAGTACAAGCTATAACTTTCAGCTGTAGCTCTTGCGTATCACTACAGATCTGTTTAATACTTTTGTTCTCTTGCCTTCTGAAGCTCATCAGAAATGATGCATCACAGGCCTGTGTCAGTCTGACCTCAGTGCCATGGAAGGTTACAGAGCAAATCATCTTGAGCACCACCATACCGTGTATACAGGACAACTGGGTGATCAGGCCCAGTCAGAATGGGTTTGTGAAAGGCAAGTACTACTTGACTAACCTGATATCCTTCTATGACAATGTGACCCACTTAGTGGATGAGGAAAAGGCTGTGGATGTTGTCTACTTAGACTTCAGTAAAGCTTTTGATACTGTTTCCCACAGCATTCTCCTGCAGAAACTGGCTGCTCGTGGCACAAGTGGTGCTCCCCAGGGCTCAGTATTGTGGCCAGGTTTGTTTAGTATCTTTAGCAATGATCTGGGCAAGGGGATTGAGTGCACCCTGAGTCAGCTTGAAGATGACACCAAGTTGGGCAGGAGTGTTGATCTGCTGGAGGGACAGGAAGGCTCTGCAGAGGGATCTGGACAGGCTGGATCAGTGAGCTGAGGTCAGTTGTATGAGATTTAAGCAAAAGGCTCAGTGCCAGGTCCTGCACTTGGGTCACAACCCCATGTGATACTACAGGCATTGGGAAGAGTGACTAGAAAGCTTCCTGGTGGAAAAGGACCTGGGGATGTTGATTGACAGCCAGCTGACTGTGAGACAGATTGTGGCCCAGGTGGCCAAGAAGGCCAACAGCATCCTGGTTTGTATCAGATACAGTGTGGCCAGCAGGACTGGGGCAGTGATTTTGCCCCATACATGCATTTTTCAGACATCTTGTTCTCTTTTTTATCCAGCTGCTTGCATGAGAACTCTTCTTTCTGGAGAAAGGAATTAGAGATAAACCTTAAAACCCTATTCCTAAGCAAGCCTGATGAATGCTTTGACCAGCCTCTGGCTGTTCTTGGTTTGTACCTTTGGGAAGCTACAAACGCTCGAGCAGAGCATGAAGGGTTCGGGGGAGCTGTCAATGCACTTCCCTTTCTCCAGAGTCCTGTTCAGTCAGTTCTGTAAGTCTGCGGTTGGGCTTTTCCCCTTAATGTGCCCAGATCCTGTTATTTGGTGTCATTCCTGCTTGCACATGTTCTCTGAACTCTTGCTGGCTGTTTGCATAACCAGGAGTGTATTTCCTGGCTGGCGTACGGCCCTGGGATCTGTTCATTAGCTGTAGTCTTGGATGGGGGTGAGTTGGTATTCAGAGCTGTAGGCTCATGCTTCACATGCTCTGCAGAGTCTCCAGGGGTTTAACTCGTAGTCCCACTTAAAGTCAGCTTCTGACCTGATTTAATCCTTGTCCTGTCCCTCATCTCAAATTTCAGTGTACTTCGAGCTTAGGCAAATGTGAGATTCCCAGGCTTGATCCCGGTGACCTGATGGAAATGACTGGTACCACATTGCCTAGTTCAGGGCCCCCCAGAAATGTCTAAACAATGCCCACCTTCTCACCATGTGACTACAAATTAAGAGTGTCTTGAAAGTCAAGTTTCCAGGACACTGGATCATTTATAAAGTCTGAACACTAATGATGCTTTAGCTGCACTTTTGAGCTCAAGCTTTTGATGTTTCTGTATATCCATTTGTTAGCAGTTTTCTTACTTATCTGATTTTCAGATTCAGCATGGATTTCCTGCAGACTACAATTCTTCCTCTCAAGTCATCTCTCCGTTAAGTATCAACTGATCATCTTTAGTGCCTCAGGCAAGTCAGAAGGCAGTATTTCTTTGCTTTCCCCTCCTGTGCTTGCCATTTCTTTTGTTGACACTCACTGGCTACTCAGTACCACAGCTGAAAAACTGTGTTTTCCTCATCCGTAGTACCTTTTGTCTCTTCTATCATCAGACCTGCTCTCCTTGGTTTTTGGACCTTCCAGCCCATCTGAGGCTAGCACCTGCAACAGGGAAGGAGTGTTTTCTTGATGCTGAGGTGAAGACAGCCGAAGTCCATTTGCTTGATGCACACTGCAGAAATGGCCTTTTTCCAGTATGAAGAGCGAACTGACACAAACGGAGAGGTACCCACAAACCTCCTACCAATAGCTTTAGAGCCTCATGCTGGAAGATGCTCCAGATGTGTTTCTATTAACCCTCATGTAAGAGTGGCGCTGCTTCCCTGAGTACTATAGGCATGAAGCTTAGTGTCGTAGAAGGTGAAAGTAATCGGGTGATGCTAATCAGTATGGGCTAAAAAGCTTTTCTGATCTTATTTAATGAGGTATAAAGCAATCTCTATTAAAGACAAACAGGGAAGAATCTGAACTTCCTTTTCAATAACAGCAGCTATTTTTCTGCAGAGTTCAGATGCTCTGATCATCCTCTGTCAATAGTGGAAATGTGTATCTGACAATAGCCACTTGCCACTTATACATGCAATAGAATTCATGGTCTTCTATAACCAGAAGGAATTAATATGCTACAACAAGAAACTATGATGTGGTGTTTTCCTGTCTGTGAGAAGCTAAGGAAGGGAGGGGAAATATTCTTTTCAGGGGGAGGAGGAGAGAATTCCATCAAGTCTGCCTTGTATTGCCAATACTGGAGGGAAATATTTCATGCTTTTTTATAACTTTACTAAATCATATGGAAACATCTGACTCTGAATAAAGAATAGCATGGAGGAAAAGAATGACTCAAAAGGCAATCTGTCTTACTGAAAACGTGCTTAAACTGTGTGCTAGTACTATTCCTGAAACTGTTTTCCCTGCTCTTAAGGTTTATCCTTGAAGTCCCTGACTTACTACAGCTATAGGAGGAAATGAATGTTGTAGTCTGTACAGGATGTTTGTAGTGCTTCTAGTGGTATAAAAATAACTTTACCAGTTTAAATTAAATTGAGTCCTCCTAAAGATAATTTTGGGTTTGTGTAATGAAATTTGGCAGATTCCTAAAGATGCCATTTAACTACCTGTGTTAAAACAAGATCCTCAATGTACATTGCTACTATATCAGCTGTTAGAAGTGACAGACTTGTAAAAAAGCAGCATTTTCCTTCATGTCTAACGTTGTAGCTGTGAAATCAATGGTCAGCTTCACTTTTAGATTAGGTTTTGTTCCTTGTCCATGACTTTTCCTAGTTTTTGAGGTTCCAGACTTCTAAAGGAAGGTTATTTCCTATTGGAAATGTGATATTTTGGTACTTCAATATATATATGTGTGTGTGTGTGTGTGTATATATATACATAAAATACATATAGTCCAAGATTGCATTTCTCTGTAAAAACTGAAGCACTAAAATTGATACCCATGCAAATTTTTACCTTTTCTTCTAAAAGCACAAAGCTGGGGGTGGGGAAAAAGTTGCTATTTAGATAGGCCACAAATAAGAGTCAGTTTGCAAACATTAGGAATGTCTATGCTGTATCAAACTTTCTCAGCATTCCCACTCCTTCACACTAAGACTTAAAGCTATGTAAAATACAGCTGTGTGAAATATTCATAAAGGCAAATGAAGCAGTAGTCCACACTTGGGTGGTTTTGTTTCCCTTGCACTATGTATCAAAAAAGGGGGAATATTTTCATTATTTTTTTCTTTTCAGACAAACAAATACAAGTATTCATAAATGAACTTTAGAAAGGACACTGGTTTCAGGTGGGAAGTGGCTTGCTTTGTAAGATTCCATGTCTGATCTAGTTAATCTGCTCTGTCTTTGAGGACAAGAACAATAACTCTACTGAGAAGGTGTGATTTAAAGAAACCATAATGGACCCTATGGTGTGATCAGAGGGATCCTCTTCATATAGCTAAGATCCTGGAAAATATTACTGTTCCCCAGGTTATCCATGTCACATCTCAGTGCTGCAGGTGGTTCCCTCGTTAGAGGCTATGGCAGAGTGATCTTCTCCCCAGGTGGAATGAGCTGGGTGAGTAGGAACATCTGAAGGGGGCTGTGAAGGAGGCAGAGTCCCCTTCTGCTAATGCTAGTCTTTAAACAGCTGTTGAACCTCACCTTCTCTTTCATAGCTCTAGGTGAAATAGACTCAGCCAAACCTGATCCTCAACTTGCATCAGTCAAAATAGCCACTCAGATTTATGCAACCAGTTCAGGTTTTTCCATGTGTAGAATAAAGAGCAGAATTCAAATGCCAGTCTATTTGGGAAGAGTTTTGTATGAACGCTGGGAGAAACAAAGGCTGTAGAATAGGTTTGGGGGTCATTTTGTTTTTGTCTCCCCACATGTAGCTGTTTAGCAAAGTTACTGCAAAATGCAGTGAAGTGAGGAGGAAGATATGTGTTGGGTGCTTGAGTACAGGGTTAGAAGGGATGGGAGGATAACATGAAGGCACCTTTTAATTAAGCCGAGCTGCATCAGCATGAAAAGGAACTGTAATGAATTGCAGTAACTCATCTTGTGCTGTCCCAGAGCAGCGTGCAGCAGAGCTGTCTGTTCCTATGTGTCCCCATGGCCCCATGCCCTGGACCAGGGAATTGGATGGTATGAGCTGCATCCTCTGCTAGGTGGAGCAGGTAAGCACTGGGATCATAAATCCCCTGCTTATTGCAGTTTTGCTGCTTACAGTATCTTTACTTTTTTCATTAGGATTATATTAATCTCGCTTTTTTTCCCTCCTTATCTAGTTCTGGAACATCCTGGAGCAGTGGCCACGGGGAGAACAACAATGTAAGATGAGCCAGGCTGGGCATGGAAAATAATTCAGGTATTGACTGAAGAATATTTCCTGCCTTTGGGGGGGGGTTGCTAGATTTGGTGCCAATAGTGGCAAGGATCTTTAGAGTCTTTTCTTTATTCTAATGTGACACAAGGGTCTGCTTTCAGGGACTGTCTGCTGTTTTTACAAAGCTACTGTCTTGCCTTTAAAGAAATCTGGTAGGAGATAAAATATTTTAGATGCTTTTCTCTGATATTTGCTCAAGGAACCCTGTTTCCTATAGCTTGTGGTCTCCTATAAGAGAGATCTGTATTGGTCCTAAGGTAACATAAGATTGTTTTGTGGCATCTGAAATAGCGAGTAAATGCTGCGGACATCCTCTGGAATTATAAACTGTAGCAGGGTTGCCTGTATCTGCAAAGCTGTGATCTACTTTCTTTCCTAAACTAAATCTTAAGGTGTTTACTGGTAATGGGGAGAAGAACTTGTACTCTTTCCTTTACCAAATCCATATCCCCTTTCTCCCCATGGTCCCCTATCTAACTTCCCAGATTACTAGCATGTTTTCAAGGTCAGAGTCTGGAAAGATTCCCAGTTTGCTTCACTTAGACACCATTGTAATTATAATTTCACAGTTGGCCTTCAGCAGAATTGAGTGCCTCATCTCTTGGAAAGGAATATGCATAGGAAAATAAATAAAAGCACTTACCAGCTGGTGCCTAGTGAATTATACTGTTCAAAGTTCAAGGATATTGAGTATAGCACTTGCTTGATTGGCACTTACATGGATGTTTGACTGGCACCATTTGACTCTTTCTAGCACTACATTCAGGAATATATATGTTAGTGTAGTTTCTTTCTGCATTGTGAAAAAGATACTTAAGCTCTCATGAGCTTCCTTTGTTCCTTCTAGATACTTGAGCTCTTCTCTTCTTGCCAGCAAATGGTCTACATTCACTTCCCTCCTTCTCAATCCCACAGAATTGCTTTCTTTGGTCCCCTTCTCATAAAACATAGGTGGAGACAGTCTGTAGCAGCAGCTGGCTGCCAGAAATGCCTCGATTGCAATGCTATTCCAGCAAGGAGGAGATGTGTGATGTGCCTGCCTGCTGTCAGCTCTTAACCTCTTGTGTTAGTGCTGGATGACTCTCCCTTTCTGTTTCTTCCCTTTATCCTTCTTCTCTCCTATCACCCCAGGAAGGGGCTTTATAGATTGCATGTGAGGATTAAAGGGTAAGCGAGAACGCTTTGGTCTCATCCTCCTTGTGTAAGAGGTGTCATGTCTTCCTTCATCAGCTGCTAGTTCACAGCTTGCAATCGAAATGCTATGTAGAAAGAATGTTTTAAAAGTTAACATGGGGAAAGGCTTTTCCCTAGAAGTGTGGGAGATTTGGGGTCTGGTTTCTACTCCACCGGAAAAAACAGTGGAATGATCTTCAGTTATCTCCATGATTTAGCAAAAAATAAGACTTCAGTGCTAAGGCTGCACTGTAATAGAGTCTGTATTGCAGGGAGTTAATATGCTTTAGAAAGCAAACAGTACAACCCCTTGTACTACAGCGTTGAAGCTTCTGTAGCTGTTCTTTAAATGGTCATGGAGTGAGTTGAGAATCTGTACTTGTCTGAGCAGCAGCTTTTGTGAAGGGTTTACTGGCAAATTTATCTTATTAAATTAGAAGAAGTTTAGCTACCTACAAACGTTCACAGTGATCAAGGAGCAAACATTTTTCTATGGTGGTAAAGCCCCTGTTTTCTGCAAGACCAGATCTCTTCTCATTTGACTGCCTCATCTTAGATACTAAATTGTTTGCTTCAATTTGAGATTCATAAAGAACACGAAGAACAAGATGCTTAAATGATGCATAATGTTGGAATATCCTGCCATGTGATTTATAGAAATGCCATAAAAGTGCATGTATTATGCTCAGCATTAGGAAACCTTTTAAAACACCCACACTCAACAGGTTTTTTTCTATTCTTGCTTTCTTTTGCTGTATCTTAACTCTAGATACTGAGGATGGTAAATGTGCAGACATAAGAATCTGTTCTGGGGATAATTCTGTACCATAGCCTTTGTTGATATCCCTATGCAAAGCAGAACATGCTTTTATTCCCAATTTATTGATGCTTACATAGCTCTTATCATCAGTGCTGAAGCTGGATGTATAAAGCACCTGGCAGTCATTTCTGGCTGTTACCTGGAAACATCACTCTCAACTCTTCAGTGTTTTTTCTCCCCTTCGACTCCCCTTACTCCTTAAGTAAATTGTTTATATTAAAAACTTTAACAGTAACTTGTTGGGTTTATCGGGGGGAATAAAAAGCAAGCTTTGATGTACTTTTGTGTGCACATACTCATTTTATATCAGTCTCAAACTGCTGAGACAAGGAGTAGGCTTTTTCTTTTTTTAAGGCTGAAGTACCATAAATCTCTAGACTGGCACCTGTAGTTTATAGGGGCTGAGTGGCTGTGGTGATCCTCCATACATGTGGAAGATGAATCTCAATGAGTGCTCTCAAAGTCAAGTCTCTTTCTTCTACAGCTCAAATTCACCCATTTTTTAAATCTTTATGTTATATCAGGTGCTGCTCTGTCCTTTTGGCCTGATTACCTGAACTCCAGCTGGATCCTGTCAAACCAGAGGAAAAGGGATATAGCTGTTTACCTAGAGGTGGGGTTTTCACCTGGCCTCACTTAAGTTTATGCTCTCAATTAAAACACCTAGGTTTTTAAAGAGGAGGGATTAAGCAACTTGTGCTCAGGGATTGTTTCATTTACTTTTGCCAGTGCAAAAGGCTTTTGTTTCATGTCCTGTCTGCAAAATGTTCAACCTTGTTCTAGGAAAGGCTCCAAAGTAAATTAGAGCAGCCTTGGGGGCTGTTTTAAATCATAGCAGCTGAGGCCTTACCCCAGCACTTCATGCCTCCACCCTGTGCCTCTCCCACCAACACACTCTACAGTAACCTCAAATCTTCACCTTTTCACAGAGAAAACTCATTTCTTTGCTTGTCTGGTAGGTTTTCCTAGGCTGGGAAGCTATCAGATCTGTTTTACAAAGAGAATGAGAAACCAAGCCCACTAGTTTTGCTGGGAAACAGGCATTCACCAGTTACTATAATTCAGCATTGCTCTTTATATTCTGAAGCACATTGATGGAGTAGGCAAAACACAGCTAGAATAATTGCTCCTGGGTATCGTGCTTTCAGATGCAAACTAAACCATTCCTGAAGCTTCAGTGGACAGTTTCCCTTAACTTCCAGCATTGTGCAATCCACCATGTGCCTTCTCTGGGGTTTCCACTTTCCTCCCCTCTGACAGATACCGGCCTCTGATGGAAGCAGGGCAGGGAAATTGGTGGATCAGTGGAATGATCCAGTACCAACAAATCCATAGTTACAAAAATAGGCAGTTATTCTTATCATTTCCTTGTTCTGACACAATTTCCTGCCCTCCTGTTAGCCTGTTCTGAAGATCGCCTGGATGACAGATCTGCTTTGAAGACTGTCAAACCCCTCTGCAAAGTACTTCTTCTGTTAGGAATAGCTGTCTGGAAGAACAATGGCTGGGAGCAGGGTCAGAAGCTGTGCGATGTTAACAGCCTTTGATCACTGTTGGCATGTATCCAGTTGGTGCCTGCTGTGGGCACTGCTTGTTTTTAACATTTCTGATTATATCACACTCTAGCACAAGAACCGTGCTTTGCTTGATGAGTTTTATTGTACCTCCTAGAGATTCAGTTATCTCCAGCCTTCTTGGCCCAGCTCAGAACAGGAGAGGGATGTGGGGACTGTGGAGATGTCCCTATATGAGCTAGTTAGGACATGACTGGAGCAGGCAAGGGAGGAAGGTGAACCAGTTTAATTAATAGGGTTCTGCTAGTGCAGGTTTATTTTGACAGAAGAGGATTATTGAAATCTCACAGCTGCAGCTCTGCTGACAGATCTGTGTGTAATAATGTCTGGCATGGGGTGGTAGTGAGCAGATGGAATTGGTAACCTCTTTGGCAAGTACAGCTGTCTGTGGCATAGGAAGCATGATAGCCTTTAACACCCCCATCAAGACCCTTACGGTCAATGTATGATGGCTCTAGGGGTCTATGTGACAGTTGGCCTGGCTTTGCAGACTGGTCACCTTTAACTTGTCATCATCAAACCTTGGTAAGTTTAGTTATGATAGTTCTTGTCTCATCTTTGGACATTTTGGGTCTTAAATATTAAAACCTAATTGAAATTAAAAGACTAAAAAGTCCACAGGCCAGGGTTTCTTTTAGAAGTCTTTCCAGTTTGCCTATGGGATAATGATTGGAGAGCATCACTAAGTGAGGCTCAAAGCAGATTTGTGGCTGTGTCTGTATGTAAAGATTTTTTTCTGGTCAGGACCCTTAATATTGCATAATTCATTCATCATCTAGAAGTATGTGACAGACTAATACCCCTCAGAGTCAACATTTCTAGCTAGTCTGATTAAACAACGTACTGGAAATAGATAATATTAACATGTATGGAGTCTGCTGTGCTCCCAGTTTTAGACTCTGCGTTTTGGTTTAACGAGATCTCTGTACTGTAATTAAGTGATAAGCGCTGCAATAGAAAAATATTAACAGTAGCAGAAATGAAAGCAAGTCATTATTTTTCCTCATTCAAGTCTATTATGAGGAATGCAAAGCTTGCTTCTTACCTATCAATTAATAATAAACATAGTTAAACTCTCCCATGCTGAAAACTTCTTGTGTAACTTTTCCTTCAGCTATCCCAGATCGCAATATATGAGCAAACACCAGTTCCAGTAGACATCGTGCAAGGTAGGAAAATACTCTCTTGAATGTGCTCTCCTCTTAAAATGGACATGAAGAAAAATAGCTTATTTTTTAGAGTCTGGAAGGGAGTACAACTCTTAAATTCATGTCCCTTTTCTCTGCAGCCAGGACTTATATAGAGCTTGTGTTTGCATGTTCTTCCCACGAGATCCATTTGTGAGACAGTGGGGGGACATTTGTGAGTACAGCAATGGTCAGTTTTTAATATGTAGTTAATACTGTGTCAGTGTATGTTTTAACCTGTATTACCTTTTGGTATAGGGTTTAAATCTGACAAAGAGGAATGGGGAATATGTGTGAAGCAGTTTAGCTGGATTCAAAGCAGAAGTGGGTTAAATAACGGGAGATTTAAACTTCTGGCTCTGGGCTTCTCCTGTGTTTGGAGCTCAGCAGGAGCTGGGACCTCCTTCCTTTTCCCATGGCAAGATCTCAGCATTGCCTGGTGCACCTACTGAGCAGCAGAAAGGGACAGGGAAGCAGCAAGGGTGCCAGCCTCACCTATTTTAAAGACCTAATGCCTCCCTGCAGCTCTGGTAAGAACACAGGGCTGGAAGCCGAGAACTCCAGGCACCAGCTCTCCCTTTTCAAGAAGTACAAGCAGAAGCTTCAAACCAAAATAAGGCACTCATCTTTTCCTTTCCTACCAAACGCTTTGGTGTTACTGGAAGGATCAAAACTTCATATTCTATTCTTGACTGTCACTGGTTTCCTATGTAGCCTTGAGCCAAACATGAAACAAAATCTTAGATCATATTAGTCACTTTTATGGCAACGCTTCTGAGATGTGTGAGGATTAATTGATTAATGCTGGTAAATTCCTCACAGATTATTGGACACAATTGCTTATTCAATTCCCTGAGAACATTTTTGTTCTAGTTGTCAGCTGCTCTCAGGAGCACACGTATTGGCGGTACTGTTGGGATGAATCAGAAGCTGAATCTTGAAGTGTTCTTAAAGTTCATTGTTTGCATGCTAAACAGTCCTCTGTATTGCTGCTCAATGAATTGTGTCAGGAAAATGACTACATAAACACTAAATTATAAGATCAGCCACAAAATGCAGCCTGATTAAATAGCTCTTTTTAAAACCTATTAGTAAATCCGGAGTGGTTGAAACAGTTCTCAACATCATTCTCACCAGGTACAGCTGATCAGAATGCAACCAGCACTGAAAGGCTTAAAATGGTTAAGCTGCACACAAACACCAGCATGTGATTAAATAGAGAGAAGAGGAAACTTGAGGTGGTGATGGTTTCATTTCTTTGAAATTCAAGCTTGGGTTTCACCATGTGGCATTTCCACTGTTCAGACAAAAAACGGTAAGTGACATTTTGGAGTAGAGAATCCAGCTCTAAACAATATGTAACACATTTAACATATAAGGTGAATCATAATCAGTTCAAGTGGGATGAAAATATGTGTGTTTTCAGGGTAAACTGCTCGAGTTGAAGGTGAGGAGTCAAACCATAACTAATCATTCATGTCTTAAACTGACATGCTTAAGTCTCTTGAGATCTTGAATACATTTATTTGCACAGAAAGACTTAGCTTAGTTTGTGTTCTGGGAATGGCTTAATGCTCACAGACCTGGGGAGCAAGCACTCACTTGGTCCCGCTCCAAATTCTGCCTGTAAACCATGTGCTCAGCTGCAAGGCAAATGAGCTGCTCTTAGACTTGTAATTCTCTGTGCTGGCATCATCGGGACTCTTACGACCCAACTGTCCAACTTTGGAGTAAAAGAAATAAAGCACAGCACTGAACTCTCCCAAGCTTCCACCTTGGGTTTTTGAAAAGCCTTTATCAGTTACATATTTGAGGGTTCGTGCCCTAGGCTAACAAATGTCAAAAGCAATCCATTAAGCAAACTTCTGTTAAGCAAGTCAGTAAAGTTGGTGGTGAATAGGTGGGTGCAAACAGAACTGCTCAGAGGCACAATAAGGGGATCTTCAAACATTTGGATGGTGGGATAGGAGCCATGAGGAGGAATCACTGAAATGATTTTTATTGTGCTCAGAGGCTTGTTTTACTACATACACTGCCCATGGGGCCAAGAGAAAAGGTTTTTTTTAACATACATGGAAGGTCTGTTTTCTTCTGTGATTTGATCTCCTTGTGCCCCTGTACCTACAAGTCTCTTCCTCATTACCCTTAAGATGTGCTGCTGGAAACAGGCTGTGCAGAGAGCTGGGCTGGATACTGATACTTCACTTACTTGCTGCATCTCTGAAGGCTTGCAGCAGAACCTGTGATTAGGAATGCAGCTAAATGTAATGTCTTAAGCAGCCTCATATTGAACCACATTGGCCAGGTTTTGGTAAAGGCTGATTAAGTCATTTTTTTTTCTTTCAGCAGTCAGACTACATGAGGAAAATGAGGCTAAAAGAGAGAAGTTGAATTTTTTCTTTGCTGAGAAGAGAGCTATTCTTTCCCCTATGAGAAAATGAGACTTTCACACAAAAGCTGTGTAGGATCTGATAATGCCAACTTTGGTTCTCAATTACATATTTTTCTCTTTTCGTCCCTCAAAGGAATTGATAATATCATCCTTAATAAAATCTAGAAGAAAAACATTTGTGTGCATGAAGGGAAGGTGACTCCTTGTGAGTATTCCTGGAAAGGTAATAAGGAATCTTGTTTAGATATATGCACTTACATTTCTCCTGTTAAAATGTTTCTTTACTATGGTTTTAGCTCTGCATTTGGTTTTTGATGGTGTGTTTTACACTGGGATTTAATTAGTATTTATCCCTAAGTTCTGTACTTGGTAAGTTAATGTTAGAACGATATCTTGGCCCTTGATGGCTTCAGGATGCATTGGATATGCTCATACAGTATCCTCACGTTGGCTTCCCTCATGCTTTACGTTGATCTTTTGCTGCCTTCAGTTGGGTTTTGGAGATATTTCCGAAGTGTCACATCCCCCCCGCTCTCCCCCTCAACCTGCCAGTGATGTCAAATTATTCTCCACAGGATCTGCCCCATATCATCCTCCTTCTCCTTTCTTGGTAAGCAGTGAAGTAGCAAAGAGCTTTCATGTTCAGGACACTACAGGCTCAGATAGCATCCCACCACTGTCCTAACAGTGGCTATCACCAAATTTGGGCTGATTTCTCCCATCACTTCCGTTATATTTCTGCAGTGAGTATTTTCTTTACTGTTTGACTTCAGAAAGTGTGAGGGATGCTCACTTCTGAAAAAAGATCAGCACACAGCAGGGACTACTTAGTTAGCTGAGAAATATCTCCAGTAAGTCATCAGTTTTGAGGTCTGACCTTAGTACATTCTGGAGACACATAGTACATAATGGTCTGACCATAGTACATAATGGAGATATCTCTCCATTTTACAGTATTATGGTAGCTTTTTTTCAGACATACTATACCTATAGACTGTAGTAAACCATTCACAGGAATTGTTAAAGGTTCTTTTTGTTAACAAGTAAAATAAGTATTAGCATTTGTTAAAAATATGTAAAGTTAACACAAATACCAGTCAATAGGTGTAAATGTAAGATAAATGCAGGACAAGGTCCCAATAGTTCTTGTTTCTTTGCTATAGTTGGGTGTTCTGGAAAAAAACGTTTTCGCTTACTATGAATCTATCAAATAGAGGAAAAAGGACCATGAATAGATCAAACAAGGAGAGCGCCTACAGGGGCTGAGCAGTACTGAGTCACGACATCCACCAGCCTTCACAGGAACGAGAACCCAGATGTGACTTCTCTGTGAGTACCTCTTAACAATAGCATGTCTCAGTGAACAAGCGAAATCAATGCTGTTATAGAACAAGTTATTTTCAGCTCTGTCAATACCTTCTCAATAATATTTTCCTTCTAGTTCCCTCATTCTAGTATTTTCCCAGCAAGGCACACAATGAACATGTGCTGATCTCCCACCTTGTCGAAATGAACTGTTGAAGGACAAATATAAGCAGTAACCTGGTCCTGATGGGACAAACACAAAGACCTGGCGTACTCCCCATAACTGGAATGTTCCAAGGCAGCTGGAGCAGCTATCACCAAAGACACCTTCATATTTGATCAGAATTGAATACAGTTGCATGATGATTTCCAAGAGAAGAAAATTTCTCAAGCTAATCTTTTTCAGACCCCACAGTTGGGTAGTCATGCAACAGTTAACAGATTTATCTTTCTATTGCCACTAACTCACAGCAAGCTCTTCTCATTTAGCTGCATGTTGGGTACAAGATTTAATTTTGCCTCTCTGTCTTCCTCCCGCTGCATGCAAGGAGCACTGTTACATTTCATTTTGGCAGACACATGCACAAGCTGCTTTTCTTGCTACTCCAAAACCCATCAGTCTTTTTTATTAGATTGCCCTTGGGCATGCTTACAATTTTTTCCTCTCTTGGCTGTAGTCTGTGACAAGACATGCACAGAACTATTTTTGATACACGTTTTTTTGGGATCACAGAACTAAGAGAAAAGTATTTTGAAGACTATCCTCTTGTTCCAAACTTTACCTAAATATCTGAACCTGATACCTTTCTTGATTTAGGTGAAAGGGTGGCAACAATATTAGCAGGACAAGGTATTTCTTCTCTGCTTCCACTTTAGGTGATTAGTTTCCTGTTCTCTGCCAACTTCCCCTTAAATTGCTCATTGCAAGACCTAAGTGATACTGCTAAGTAAAACAGCATTTAGCAAAGCTTTGGGAGTTACATGCACTTGAGAGACTGCTGCAAACTTCTTGATATAATTTTGACCACAATAACTTTACAATGTTTTTGAGGCTGTGCTGGGACATCAGGATCTGATCATTCAAACATGATGCTTAAGTCAAGAGGCAAAATAAAGTTTTGCTATTTTTTTTTTTCCCCTTGATCATGTAAAATTGCTCATATGTCCAAAGCAATAATCTTACCTCTCTGTAGCTCCTTGCTCCTGATATTGTGGATCCTTGTGAGGCTGTGCATGTGTATGAACTCTTTCTCTCCAGATTTGGTTGAACAAAATGAATAATGGCCTTTATGATGTTTTCCCCATGTTTTTATTCAATGGCTGGTGGAATGATTCTTCGCACTGTGACGAACCCTTCCCACATGTGCATGTGAACTTCTGTTTTGCAATGGCGTAACACAATTGCATCACCAAGTTTCAGTAGATGACAGGAGGCGAGTGTCACTACGTCAGCTAGGCTCTTGGACAGCGTGCAATTTCTGTTGATTAGGATGATAGGTATGGAAGGTAAATTCCATCACTAAGCTCTTTATTTCTTCTTGTCTCATTGCTCTGCACTTCATGCAGTGATACCACATTCAACCGAGGTTAAACATCACAGGTGGGAGTGGTGATGTGAACCAAGAAGGTGTGTTTTGGAGCGTGAGAGCTGGAGTTCTTCAGAAACAAGCTGGGGGTGCAGGAGCTGCTGGGCAGCGTTTGCTCTTTCATGCTGTAACAAACTTACGAAGAAACGTGTGGGACCTTGTTTCAACTGTAGACGTGCCAGGTAAGCAAATCATCTTGCCTGGTCCTGCCTCAGTTTCTTTGCCTGGGACGCACAGCTGTGATACTTGGCCCCTTTTTTAGGCACCTGGACACACAGCCAAGGAAAAGCCTTTACGTGGCAGGGCTGCTGCTCACTTTATTTCCCTTTCCCTGCAGTCATTATGTACTTTCCAGCTCCACCCTCACCCAGGAGAGTGCTGCCAGCCCCTGCCCTCGGCCACCACCTTCCCTATGGCTTTTGAGACAAAACCTTCTGGCTTTTGGATTTGGCCGCTGGAAATAGCGGAGGGGGAGGTGGGGAAGGGTGAAGGCTGGAGCTGGGGATACTTCCGGGGGGCTGGTGGTGGCGCTCGGAGGGAACTGATCTTCGGAGGGGACATAGGGTGGTCCAAGGGTGATGGGGGGTGTCCGAAGGGGAAAAATGCCCTAGGATGCTCGGAGGGGGGGGGGGGGGCGGGATGCGGTAATTCCAGGAGGTTCCGGGGCGGGAAGCACTCAGGGAGGTGCCGGCAGCGGGACCGCCCCGGGGGTGGTGGCGGTGACAGCGACACCAACACGTGCCCGCCCCGGGTCCGCGCTCATAGCAGCGTGCAGAGCCGGGGGGGAGCCGTGCGGCGATGGGCGGCTGAGGGATCCCCGCGGGTCTGCCCGGCACGCAGGTAACCCCGCTGCCCCGGGAAGGTGTGGGTGTGTGTGTGTGTGGGGGGGGTGTCCTCGCCGGGCTGGGAGCAGGGGCTTGCCGCGGTGCTGCCTGGCACCGGCTACCGGCGGCTCTGGGGCTTGTCCCGTCCTGCCGTGCTGCTTTGGTACCGAGGGCATCCACTTCGGAAGAAAGACTACAGCTGGATGTAGGGGTGTGTGTGTGTGTGTGTGTGTGTTTATTTATTTATCTATGTTAATGCTTTTTATATTGTTGGTTTTTTGTGGGGTTTCCCCGCCTTATTTATGTTTGGGGTGGTGGTGGTTTTTTTGTTTTCGAGAATCAAATAGGTTGGAAAAGATCTTTAAGACCATCGAGTCCAACCTTAGCCAGAACTGCCAAATCCACCACAATACTGGACACTTAGTGGATTTTGCCCATTTCATGCCAGCCAACTTGCTGCCCTTGTTCATGTTTTCCCAGCTATCCAAGAGATCAAACTTCATAGTGGAAAGCTCGCGGTTACTTTGTGCTCCGCTGTGTGTTGCTTTCGTGATGCTGCATGGGATACTTGGACCTTGGGTGAATGTTTCTGTTGTTGTTTACGTGAGAAAATTATCCTCTCCTTTCCCAGCCAGCTTTCCGTGAACTGATTCATCCCTGTGTGTACTTGCTTACTGAAATTGGTTTGGTTGGTTGTGGACTTTAGTTAAAGAAATAAGCTACTTAATAATAATAAAATGATCCCTAAAATGAAAGCAGTCAGCAAAGAAGAAACATGGACACAAGTGCAACAATGCAGCAAAGTTGCTTTAAGGGTACCTTTGAGGGAAATTGAAGATGTGGGATATAATTCTTTTATAAAAAATCTGTTCATGTGCTTGTAATGAGAAATATTGTAATTTTTCAGTGATGTTCCCATAGCACAACTGTGCAACTGGCAAGAAACCAGTTGGTGCTCCTAGTTTTATGACAGTCAGCTGTTCAGAGCGCACTTGAAGCTGAATTACTACTACATGGCATTAAGAAAGTAGAAATTCCCATCTGGATAATTTTGTATTAATTTTCCATGGTTAAGCTGTAGACTTTGTCATGTATTTTACAGTGATTTTGGTTCATTCTCAGGAGATGATACTGTTCAGTGGCTATATCTAGGTGTCAGAATGAACGAGTGTATTTGAGTGATAATCTTGTTTGCTGTCTTGCTGCTGTTCAATAACATCACAAAACAGCGTATCGTAAAGCAAATAGACTTTAATATGATGTAGTCTGAAGATGATTCAGTAGGTGTAGTTTCATTTTGCAGTTGATGTGTAAAGAATAAAACTGCGCAGAGAGGAAATGAATTTTATGTAATAAATTTTTTGGCACTTCATTTTTT